GACTGGGATGATAAGTTGCCTGATGGCATCGCAGCCGCATGTGCGCAATGGTGGGAAGAGTTGGCCGAAGTGGTGAGCATTGACATACCACGTTGGATTTGCTGCAATCTTGACACGCCGATTGCGCTTCATGCCTTCGCCGATGCCAGTGAGAAAGCGTTTGGATGTTGTTTGTATGCAGTCGTCAATGGACAGTCGCACTTGATATTTGCCAAGGCCAAAGTGGTACCCGTGTCTCCACCCACGTTAGCCCGCTTTGAGTTACAAGCAGTATGTCTAGCGGCTCGCTACGCTGAGTTTGTGGTGAAGGAGCTGCGTGTGACCGTCACGCAAGTCTATGACTGGACTGACAGTCTCACTATCGTTCATTGGATCAGTAATCCATCGAACAAATGGAAAACATTTGTGGCTAACCGCCTCAGTCAAGTCCAAGAGATATCGAAGAAGGTCGGCACTGTGTGGAACCATTGCCCGGGCCTTCACAACCCAGCAGATTTACCGTCGCGTGGGAGTAGTGCACAGCAGATCCGTAGTCCGTTCTGGAGGGGCGGACCAACCTGGATCACGGAGCCCAATGACTGGCCCACCGCATCCTCAACCGCAGCTACAGATGAGTCCAGTGTAGAAGTACGAGTGTCAGCCACCACCTGTAGTCGAGAATCTGATAAGGAATGGTGGCTCCGATTCAGTAAATGGTCGAGGGCACAGGGCATGGTGACTCGGATGTTGCAGTGGAAGCACACTGAGCCTCGTGCTGAACTCTATTTTGCAGCAGACAACGTATTGTACCGCATCGTTCAAGCCGCATGTTTCGCTGAGGATCTTGAGCTGATCAAGCAAGGTCAACCAGTGAAGCCTGGGTCGAAGGTGTATCAGCTTGCACCGTTTCTGGATGAGCATGGAGTGCTCAGAGCCGGGGGATGACTTCAGCACAGCGAGTTGGCGTATGGAGCCAAGCACCCAGTCCTGTTAGGCAAACATCATCTAACCGACTTCCTGTTGGAGAAAATGCATGTTGAAAGGATGCACCAAGGTGTAGAAGGAGTCTTGTCATTCATCCGTCAGAAATTCTGGATTATCGGTGGTCGACGGGCGCTACGCAACATTACTCAGCGATGTGTTACATGCCGCCGCTACAAGGCTAAGGCTGCCTCAGAAGTCTGTCCGCCGCTGCCAGAAGACCGAGTTGTTCACGAGAGGCCGTTCGCAACTACCGGCATCGACTATGCTGGTCCGTTGTACGTGCGCCGTGGTGAGTCATCTCCGAAGGTATGGATAGCATTGTTTGTGTGTGCCACCACCAGAGCAGTTCACTTGGAGGTGGTCGATAGTTTAAGTACTGAGTCATTCTTGATAGCATTTCGGAAGTTTGTCGCGAGACGTAGTTTGCCGTCTCGGATCAGGTCTGACAACGCTACAATGTTCAAGGCGGCATCTGACAAACGGAATGTGCCATGGTTGTTCAATCCTCCAGCTGCACCATGGCATGGAGGCTTCTATGAGCGAATGGTTGGTACAGTGAAGAGTGCCTTGAAAAAGGTAATGGGAACAGCGTTTCTGAAGGTCCAGGAGCTTGAGATCCTCTTGTATGAGGTTGAAGCAGTGGTGAATAGTCGTCCGCTAACTTATGTGTCGAATAGCCTGGATGAGCCACCATTAACCCCTGCAATGATGATGGGTAACATCTGGATGTCGTCAGAGAAGCCAGCAGGTACCCTGGACGCTGCGCAGATGTCCTCGAGATTGCGGTACCTCAGTCGGACACTGGAGCCTCTCAAGAATCGTTGAGAGGTGGAGTACCTAAGTCAGCTCAACAAACACCAACAGACCACGTCGCGCCCTTTAGCTGTGGGTGATGTTGTCTTTGTTCTCGATGATACCAAGCGCAAACAGTTCTGGTGTTTGGAACGGATCATCGAGTTATTCCCTGGTCGAGATGGTAAGCGTCGTGTTGCCAAGGTTAAGTTGAGTACCAGTACCCTGTTGAGGCCGATCCAAAGGTTAGTGCCGTTAGAAGTATCGTCACAGGACGTGGCTCCTGGGCTTGCAGATACCGCTCAACCTGCTATCGTCCCTCAGCAGCCAGCGTATGAACCGTCAGCACCGTTACCACCACGACGGCAGCAGGAGATGACGCGTTCTGGGCGCATAGTCAGAGCCCCGGATCGTTTTTGATTTGTGTGCATTGTTGTACGGCGGTGAGAAGCCCTTTGGTGGGGAGAATGTTGCAAACCACCAGTTCTCAATTGGGAAAGGCCTTCGCGCTTATGGCATTGTATTCGTTGCAATGTTGTATTTCGACTCCGCCGTACCGCTGATGTTGCGGCATGGCATACGCTATATGCGCTGTGTGTGTTTTGCTGTATACGCTGTTATGTTCAGTTTAATATGCGTACGTTTTGCATGTACGCTGTTTTTGCATGCTATAAATAGCTGGTGTTATTAGTGTTCATTGTTAATTATTCGATGAAGTGAATTATACTGTGTAAAGGAAAAGAGTTGTCCTCGTGCCGTGTGGTCGTACTACCCTGACAATTTAGAGAATCTTAGAGGGTTCACAACACTGAAGCACCCTATAAAAGAAGCTCTCATTCTCTCCTTTACTTCAGTTTTAGTTTTAGTCTAGTCTAGTCTGGTCTAGTCTAGTCTAGCAGTCGAGACTCGGTCTCAGCTCTCTGTCTTCGTTTACTTCGAGCTCGGATTTGATACTACTCACAACGTAAAACTAACAGTCTTTGTCTGTTGATCGTGTGGGGTTGAACTTGGACCAAGCCAGCTATATTGGTTGGCCCCTGGGTTGTGTTGGGCTTGTCGTGAGGCCACACGTTTATATTCAGTCGCCGCTCGTAGTGATTTCGGGGTCCGGTCACTGTGAGCCTGGGATGCGACACACACACACACACACACACACACACACACAAGCACATATTTATACACACACACACACACACACCCAGGCATCCGAACACATACACACACACAAGCATACAAACACACACAAATAACAGGTGCGTAGAGGCCCAATGACATTCAGCAGATCTCAGATACTTACGAACACCTTTTGGGGTACATTTTCTCCTTTTCTGGTTTTCTGAGCTTGCATTGAATTTGTATTGCATTTTCATCCATTGTGTTTCTTTTCCCCGTAAAAGAGGCTTCATACAGTGCTCCCGGGTCTCGGGGATTTCAAACAAACTCACGTTAAAGTCACATCTGTGTCGTATACAGAATGTTTTGGAAAACTCCATGGAATCGCCTGGAATGTCCCGTTCTTTTTCTTCCAAAAATTACAGTGCTCAATCGCATTTTGAACTGTGCATAGCACTTTCAAAACCTGACCAGCCTAGCCTGCAAGATATGCACTTGCAGGCGCGGGCGCCGACTGAGCGAACTGCACTGCAGGGTTGAACAGTATTGTATGGATCTGCAGTTTATGCCATCAAACCTTTTTTTTTGCGGGAAAGCTCTTTTTCACTTGTTTTCGTGACATTCAGGGATTTTGAGAGAAATCCAGGGATTCTATATGTCTTGTCAAGGGATAGAGATTTTGGTGGCTGGTCGGTATGGATTTGTATCCGCTTTATTATTTATTATTAAATGCTTGTTCTTTGTGGTTTCTCCGTGTCTTTCCTGTTGTCATTTCGTTTGACCTTCGTTTTCCATGCTCCTTCTGCACCTTCGTCATTTTGTTGTTATAATATAAAAATTGAGACACAATTAAGAGGTTGTGTTGATGTGTGTCAGGGGCCAGGGGAGAACAGCACTATTTCCATTTCACTTGGTCCCTATCCAAATAGCAAGGGAACGTCCGACTACAGCCGACAATCGCAGGTGGTACGCAAAGAGGAAAGGGCCTTTTAATGCTATTTCCTCTTTAAAGAACGCGTGCATTCAGATCCTACACAGAGAGGTTGCGTCTACCTGAGACGTAACGAGCAAGAGTTTGAAAGAAGGTCAGAACCCAGAATGGAATACGATGTCCAGATGTCCAGAGCAGTAACTGGGTACCGTCAAGAGGTTAAACCCGAATTATTGGATTAAATATTGTTACGTGCATGGGATACCACGACAGCAGCGCACAGTAAATGGAGCAACAAAATCTCCCTACATTTTCAGAGCTGCCCCACAGTGCCCAATGCAAAATTCAAAATCATGTATCCCTCTATAACTTTCTAATGTTCTGAAGTTTTAGGGAACGCGAAACGAAGATTATATGGCCTTAAGATTGCTGATTGAAGCTATGGGATATTTGCCCTTTTGCGGAAAATTCTCTAACGCAATGACAGATTCTGGTCGAAAAGCATTGAAATTTGCAGACCCTTCAAACCTTTTGGCACTCTCTTCCTTAAAATTCTGCTCCATTTCTTCATCAATATACCAAAAAAGGGGGGGGGGGGTATCAACATATCAAAACATTAACTAAACGAACCATAAAGAAGACTGAGAATTTTGTACCTTTTCTATCGCCATGATCCGCGAAGGACCTATGAGTCTCTGGGGAAGTCTCCGTTTCGGCATACTGTTTAATATCATATTCAGCTCTGACGCATTTTGTAACATACTCAAGTCAGAATGGTTTTCATGCTTTGGCGCTCAGCTATATTTCTGCAATATCAACTAAAGTAACGTTAGAAATTGTATGTTCTTAGCTTTGCAACACACCTCATGCTTGACAATAGAAGAACAATGACGGAAACTATATTTTACAGTGTTATATGTGAACTGCGCAGCCTAACCCAGTTGCATATGAATCATGTTGTGGGTTAGGAGTCTGGGTTATTTCTGAAAACAAGATCATGTTCTCTCTCACACCTCACATTTGCAACAGCAAAACCACAGTGCAGGGTCGGCTGCGGACAGCCACATTCGAATTTTCAGCCAACGAGAAGCGTACACATTCGGCCTTTTAGATTAGAACTACTATATCCTAGACTAGGTGTTTTGTGCACTACCCGGAACTAAGCAACAACAACATTGTCCTTGTGGCTTGTCGTTTGTAGAAATTTGTACAATAATCAGATCCAGACTTTAAGTGATGGTGTGTTCTCTGGTCTACCAAACCTCACAACACTGTAAGTATTCTCAATTACGCCACTGAACGCAGGGAACAGTTGTAGAACTGTGCACTTGTATATATAGAGTACTGCTGGATACGTGATGAACAAACCTCGCATATCTCTGAGCATTATTATCTGCTGCACTGATTGAAGGGAACAGTTGTAGACGCTGTGTGTGAAATGCTTTGTTATGAAGCCTCTGATTCTCGTAAGTGTCAGAAACGAACGAGCACACAGCACGAGGACAACTATTGACTCTTAACGCTTGACTCAGTCTAAGACCACTAGATAATTATAGCATGCAAATGACAGCGTATACAGTAAATCGCACACAGCGCATATAGCGTATACCATGCATGATGCATCAGCGGTACGGCGGAGTCGAAATGCGACATTCAAGCTAATACCAATCCATGTCACCAGCGAGAACTTGTGGGTTTGTAAAATCCCCCCCCCCCCTCCCCAAAGGACTTCTCAGCGTCGTACAACAGCTCACAAGTCAAGCGATTCGGGGCTCACTACGTGTCATCTGCTGCTGCAATGGTGACCAAGGTGGAATATCAGTGCTCACCACTTCTGCCAACTCAATTGTTCCAAGCTCGTCGATTTAGGCTGTGACAAATGACACGGTCACAGGCTTACTGTTTCGACACGTTGCAGACGCTGGACCTGACAACACACAACCTATCTCTGTGTTCCACACAGTCTCGCCCTCTCCTTTCCTTAGGCAAAGACTCCAGCTTCTTCTCGGCGTATCCAACCGATATCGACTTGCAATGCGCCGATATAGTGGGCTTTAGACGTGATCCTCCCAATGGTTTCTTGGCAGTATCACCCTGTTGTCCGTGTGCGACCTGGTAAGACGCACCGTGCTCCTGAACCTGACGCAGAGACATCCTGTAGATCAGGTCCGTCTTCATCTCAGATTCACATTGTTCCAAGATCACCTGCTTTGCCATTGCTAGCAGCACACGGGCCATCTTACCAATACTAGCGCTATACTCGGTGTCCACCTCGCTATCTTCAGTCATAGCAAACGTGGCCTCTAAATCATCTCCTCAGCATCTGTTCAGCACCTGCATGAGCGACACTGACTCACGCTGCTATCTAGTGTTCACGAGATGTTTGTCGCGCTGGATACCGAGCGTCTCTGTAAGTTTGTATCCCTGGTGATGTTTGTGCCTGGAGAGCACTATATAAGTGGTGCTCTTCAGGCACAATCTTCCTCAGCCTACTCAAGCTCAACTGATTAGGGGTGAATTCCCCGAAACACTGTGTCTTGATCAGGGAGGGGTGCTTTCTTGCAGGTTTGCCGAGTGGACGGTTCGGTGGACTTCTCATATCCTCTTGATGGCAGTCGTGAGTCAGTGAATTTAGAATTCGAGCCGGCAGGAATAGCGCAAGCACCCACATAGGGAGCAACACATACTTCCCCCATTATCGCCGAAGTCGCAACAACCTCTTCTTCACAATGTTGTACCATACAGCAAATGGTTAATCAGGCATGTCTTGTCAGGTCCGGTCATCTCTGACATAACAGCAAGGAGCCTTGTGGGTGTTGTGTAACGCACGCACAACAATTATTGGTCAGGTAGGTTCTCGCGTTGTACGTTTCCTGGAAGTGCTTCACTTCCTGGAAATGTGACTCCAGGCTTTGTGCAAAACCACGTCACTACGACGTTCTACAGGTTTCCACGATACCTCGGTGCTTTGTGCAAAGAGCCAAGACTAACCAACCGAGCTAAGTGCTAAGAGTGCAGAGCCAAGACGTGTGCAAGAACCAAAACCGTCACCGCAGTGACCGCACGAGAGATCAGAGTATCAAGCAAGCAATACCAAGAATGCAGCAGAACTTACCATAAGAAGCCGCTGAACTATGGCACGTTGTGTGAGCGGGCTCCCCAACGTGACCCTCATATACTCACATCGTACTCTGACGTGGGTGAGCGGGCTCCCCACGTCCCAGTTTGGTCTTTCTTCTCTCGATGTCTTTCTTTCTCTTTCTTCTCGAATGATCACCGTACGTATATTCTGCATTTCTGCTTACTGGCTGTGCACATTCCGGTTTGACTTGTTCTGCTATTTCCTGGAATCACCTCGCAACGATCACGCCATATATCTCTGAAGCACCCTATAAAAGAAGCTCTCATTCTCTCCTTTACTTCAGTTTTAGTTTTAGTCTAGTCTAGTCTGGTCTAGTCTAGTCTAGCAGTCGAGACTCGGTCTCAGCTCTCTGACTTCGTTTACTTCGAGCTCGGATTTGATTCCTCTCACAACGTAAAACTAACAGTCTTTGTCTGTTGATTGTGTGGGGTTGAACTTGGACCAAGCCAGCTATATTGGTTGGCCCCTGGGTTGTGCTGGGCTTGTCGTGAGGCCACACATCTATATTCAGTCGCCGCTCGTAGTGATTTCGGGGTCCGGTCACTGTGAGCTGGGGATGCGACACACGCAAACACACACACACAAACACACACACAAACACATATTTATACACGCAGACACACACACACACCCAGGCATCCGAACACAAACACACACAAGCATACAAACACACACAAATAACAGGTGCGTAGAGGCCCAATGACATTCAGCAGATCTCAGATACTTACGAACACCTTTTGGGTTACATTTTTTTCCTTTTCTGGTTTTCTGAGCTTGCATTGAATTTGTATTGCATTTTCATCCATTGTGTTTCTTTTCTCCGTAAAAGAGGCTTCATACAGTGCTCCCGGGGTCTCGGGGATTTCAAACAAACTAACGTTAAAGTCACATCTGTGTCGTATACAGAATGTTTTGGAAAACTCCATGGAATCGCCTGGAATGTCCCGTTCTTTTTCTTCCAAAAATTACAGTGCTCAATCGCATTTTGAACTGTGCATAGCACTTTCAAAACCTGACCAGCCTAGCCTGCAAGATATGCACTTGCAGGCGCGGGCGCCGACTGAGCGAACTGCACTGCAGGGTTGAACAGTATTGTATGGATCTGCAGTTTATGCCGTCAAACCTTTTTTTTTGGCGGGAAAGCTCTTTTTCACTTGTTTTCGTGACATTCCGGGATTTTGAGAGAAATCCAGGGATTCTGTATGTCTTGTCAAGGAATAGAGATTTTGGTGGCTGGTCGGTATGGATTTGTATCCGCTTTATTATTTATTATTAAATGCTTGTTCTTTGTGGTTTATCCGTGTCTTTCCTGTTGTCATTTCGTTTGACCTTCGTTTCCATGCTCCTTCTGCACCTTCGTCATTTTGTTGTTATAATATAAAAATTGAGACACAATCAAGGGCTTGTGTTGATGTGTGTCAGGGGCCAGGGGAGAACAGTAACTTGTATCGGTTTCACCCTACTACTGTCAGCACTGATAATGAAGTCTATCCATTTCCTCACTTTGTCTATGGAATCTTTTACATGTTTCTTGTTTACATCTTTATCACTTACTGAACCAGAGCGCAGTTGTACCCCTCTTATTCTCCCCAACACGTCTTTCACCTTCTTCAAGTTATTACTACTTTTGATGTTTTTTTCATTCTGTATTTCAACATTAGTTCCTATGTACTTATTGATGAGGCCAATATCTTTCTGGTTGAATGATTTATCAGTGTCAGTAATGAAAGAAGAAGTTATACCATCCAATGGTTCAGGAGTACTACCTCCAATGGGTTTGATGAATGAACCCATAACCGATGGAATTTGATGGAGGGCTGTTGTGATTGCTGCTTGGTTAGTCTGAAGTTGTCGAAGGAGCGCATCCTGCCGTTTATCGTTTTCCTCACTTTGTTTGGTTAATTTTTTAACAACAGGTTTTTGGAAGTCTTCTACAAACTCCTCCTGCTGTTGCTTGCCGATCCTTTTTTCCAGTGGACGTTGCTTGAGAATTTCCCGATTTTTGAGAAAGGTGTTAATGACCTCCTTCCGACGTTCAGGATTTTCTACTTGAGTAAAATGTGGCATGCTTATCTACCAATACCTTTTTTATTCTTCTCACTTCTCCAAGAACCTATCGAATCCACATCGGTACATCTCTGGCTGATATGTTGCTGTTTTATCAAGCATGAAAAATGAATGTGGTTTCTCTGTTGCCATATCATAGGCTTCCGCAAACTCGGTTTTCTTAAGATGTTTGGAGTGATCATGTGCTAGACATTGGACATCTCTGTTGTCTAAGCCCTTGTACAGGAGGAAGCACTTGGTATTTCTCCGCATATATTTCGGTACATCATAGTATGATTGACAAAGATATATACAGTTACATTTCTTGTTCCGAGAAAGACTGAAGTATTCTATCACTTTTGTCATGTGCTTTTTGTCAATCTTGATGTCATCAAAAATTATCACCTTATTTTCCTGATCATCGAGATCCTCCACTGGACACACCTTGTCTGGTTGTTCAATGATAAGTTTACCAGGAGATATTCCATTGTAAAACCCATCAAGAAGTTGATATTTTGGTTGTTGAAGATTTATTGTATTAAGGATGACCTTATCACACTTCAACCATGATTGTAGAAGTATATTACACAGTGTGTTTGTCTTCCCACATCCCGTTTGTCCAATCATCATGTAGTGACAATCAGGAAGCAAGTAGTGATGATTTATTTATTTATTTATTTATTTCTGCACCTACTGATGCTTTGTTGGTTTCTCCTTGTGCTCATCAAAGTTAATCATTTCCATGGTTTATACCTATAATGGATCATTTTTTATTGTTCCAACGCTCTCAAGAAAAAATATATACAGAGATAAGGAAGATGTAGAAGAGAAAAGGACATATGGATACGAGTTAAGAGTAACTCTCCATCACTGTAACATGATACTTTATACAGTCAGAAAGTGCAATAACTAGGCACAAAACTGACAGAGTACTGAAACATTCGACGTCCTGACACCTAGCTTCAACACATCTCCGTAGCGCTAACCGACAGCCTTCCAACTTGGAAGGTTCAAGGTTATGGAAAGACCAAAGAGTTGGAAGGCTGTCGGTTAGCGCTACGGAGATGTGTTGAAGCTAGGTGTCA